GTTCTCTTCGTACTCTTCTTCGTAATATTTTTTTTCTCTCGAGAAAGGGGTAGGCGCTCCTTAGGTGGTGACCTTGCGAGATTAAGAAACCCACGATGATGGGACGTCCCTTGCGTCTTTTATGGATTCTCACTGGCCAGTCGTTTGTCTTTTCTTTAAGCGACGAGAAATGCGTCATCGTGCGACTAACTTCTTTAAGGCAATGTTATCGTGGGCAACGGCGGGGGTCGGGGTGGGGAGTAACAACGATTGCCAATGAAAATCTCTGTCTAGCGAAAGGGATGTATCCGAGATCCCACGAGAAAAGCCGAATAAAAACGAGCTGGCGCTTGTGGTACGTAAATTTGTTACGCGCTGCTTTAAGCTTCGCGAGCTCATGTCAATCGAATTTCATCCCACTTATGTTTTTCTTCGGCTTTTAACGGATGATCGATATTATCGCAATTTTTTCTCTTCGGTCAAGCATCACCACCGCGTCATATCGTGTATCTAACCTAGTAATACAGTCTGCAATTAGCATCCTAAGGATTAAGTTCATTTATCGGTATTGTAATATATTAAACGTACTCGCGCGCGTCTATCGGTACGTACACGCAAACGCAAACGCAAACGCAAACGCAAACGCAAACGCAAACGCAAACGCAAACGCAAACGCAAACGCAAACGCAAACGCAAACGCAAACGCAAACGCAAACGCAAACGCAAACGCAAACGCAAACGCAAACGCAAACGCAAACGCAAACGCAAACGCAAACGCAAACGCAAACGCAAACGCAAACGCAAACGCAAACGCAAACGCAAACGCAAACGCAAACGCAAACGCAAACGCAAACGCAAACGCAAACGCAAACGCAAACGCAAACGCAAACGCAAACGCAAACGCAAACGCAAACGCAAACGCAAACGCAAACGCAAACGCAAACGCAAACGCAAACGCAAACGCAAACGCAAACGCAAACGCAAACGCAAACGCAAACGCAAACGCAAACGCAAACGCAAACGCAAACGCAAACGCAAACGCAAACGCAAACGCAAACGCAAACGCAAACGCAAACGCAAACGCAAACGCAAACGCAAACGCAAACGCAAACGCAAACGCAAACGCAAACGCAAACGCAAACGCAAACGCAAACGCAAACGCAAACGCAAACGCAAACGCAAACGTAAACGCGAACGTAAACGCGAACGCAAACGCAAATGCAAACGCAAACGCAAACGCAAACGCAAATGCAAACGCAAACGCAAACGCACACGCACACGCACACGCACATGCAAACGCAAACGCACACGCACACCGCACACGCACACAGAGACATAATGTGGATGAGCACACACGTATTCAGTTGCGCAAAACGTTTCCCGGGGAACGTGAACACTCTCTTGACTCGATTAGTCAATGCATGATCGTTTATTCGTCACTTTGTTGAATCCAAGTGTCATGATGCCCATGCAGCCGCTTAATCGTTAGATTAACTGTAATGGCACTGAGAGACGTATTATGATTTGTATAATAAAATATTATTAAATAAAGATTATTAAAGCAGTGTACAATCGATCAGAGCGTACGTAATATTTATCGTGAGCATGAGAAAGATAAGTAAAACTAATTTTTGTATTTTTGCTCAAGCGTCAAGCTTGTCTTTCGTTAAAGTCTTTAAGCTCCCGTCTTTAGCGGTATGTTACCGTTAGGCATTCACTTTAAGATTTGCTTATAGTCATGTTAATTGAGTACTAATTTAGCGTTTGCATGAATAGGCGAAAGATTAGGTAAACTAATAAGGTATTTCAATGGTGCACGTAACAATCTTTCTCGTTGGTCTCGCGAACGTCATTCCCTTCAACGATTCCAAGCCTCGAGAAGTCTCGGGAAAGTATCCTCGATCGATCGATTTTTTTTTTTTTTTTTTTTTTTTTTTTTATTTTATAAGTCAAGAGTGCGCAAACAATTCGTCGCGCACATTCTCATGCATTCAAAAATATCGCGCACGCACGCATACAGACTTCGACTCGCACTCTACAACTTTTAGGCGGCATAACAGCACAGCGAGCGAGTTTACTTTTTTAAATTCTTTTTTTTCTTCTTTTTTTTTGTTTTGTTTTTGTTTTTTTTTTTTCATTTGTTTTATTTTATTTTATTTTTATTTTTTTGCGCCGCGCAAGCTCTACTGGGCAAATACGCACGAGAAAATTAGTATAGCGCACTTCATGTACGCACGCACACGCGTGCGCGATAAGAGTGCATGCGTACCGACTTGTTTTATATTACCTTTTGTTTGCATATATTTTGCGGCACGTATAACGTAAGATCGCGATCGGAACACGAAGTCTTTTTTTTTAAGATGCAAACGTACTTAGCGAAGCACAATCGGCATTTCGGTGTGTCCCTATGTCCCCAAGACTTTATGATACTGCCTATCGCGACATTATGTATAATATTCATTCTTATCAGATCATCGAAAATGTATTTATCGGTGTATCCACATAGGGTTATGCGGTATGCTAAAAGTTTGCATGTAATGGTGGACGGCCGTGTTGTCACGTATATAATCATTACCTTTAGTTTTATATATTTGTAAAAGTATTGAGTTTCTTATGAGGCAATTGAATTTGGAAAAACTTAATACAGACGAAGCAGTATTGGTAGTAATAGTTGATGTATGCTATTGTTGCATCTCTAAGTGCGTTAGTCGATTGACTTCATGTTTTTCTTTTTTCATTTCCTTTTTTTCCCATTGTTTTATTGTTTTTCTTTTTTTTTGTTGATTTTTTTTTTGTTTTTATTTAATTCACGTTGCATTCATCGACAGGATTTTCAGAAAGAATGGGAAAAGTGTGTATGTTGGGGAAGTTCCTAAAAACTTTTCCGAAAAATTGTGTATAATAATCACTTATTTACAATACTTCGTATTCAATTATTATGGATAAATGTAAGGCTCTCCTCGTATTTACAATTATATAATTATAAACAGAATAGTTTAATGGTCGTCTATACGCTAAACATAAGTAGTAGAGTATTTTAAGTTACATAAATACATTGCAAATAATTAATACGATTTTCCTCGATGGGGTGTGTGGCTTCTCTATCGTTGAGAACATATTCGAACTTTATTGCTCTCGTAGTGCATAACGATTCATCATACAATGATAATAATAATAATAATAATAATAATAATAATAATAATAATAATAATAATAATAATAATATTAGTAATAGTAATTAAGACTTTGTTCCAATCAATGCGACGATTTTTCGAAAATCAAAATACAAATCATTTGCCTTTGTGTATAAATATGTTTGTTTTTCGGTGCATTTTCGCATCCGCGTGTCTATGGCTGCACACGTGCATTATTGTTGTTGCTGTTGTTACTGTTTTAATGAACATGTGACATTTACGACGATGTCAAAAATACGAAATATCATAAATAAATGGTTAGAATAAATAGCGCACTTGTTGGAACGTAATTATACAAAGTACAAAATACTTTGTAATAGTACCGTGTGTCTGTCTGATAAAAGATAGATAGATAGATAGAGAGACAAAGACAGAGGAAGAGAGAGAGAGAGAGAGAGAGAGAGAGAGAGATAAACAAGAAAACAAAGACAAACAAAAACAAAAAAAATGAATAGAACGTAGTCGTGGAAGTGCGCGCAGATCCGAGCAGAAATTTAAGAATTATTTATTAGCCGTTGGTCTATTTCTTGGCTAATTTCAATATTCGGTATCGACTTCGATTATAAAAGATGACAGTATGATGTATTTGTCAATTCTGGTGAATTTTCTTTTAAGATGCAATAAACGTATTCCCGTCGAAAGATTCATGAAAATATTTGACCAATGCAGTGTGTGTATGATGAAAACTCGTTTATCAGGAACATGTATTTCTATGTCACAAAGAAGGTAGCGGCCAGCAACATTTAGAAGGGGAAGAAAAAAAAATTATATCATTATACCGATATATCGAAAGAATTTACTCATCTAGCCCAAACTCCAACGGAAATACTTAAACGGAAACACTGAAAAAAGAGATAAAGAAGGGAAGAGAGAGAGAGAGAGAGAGAGAGAAAGAGAGAGAGAGAGCCGTAACATGACTATATGGAATAAAAAGAGCACGCAGATGCTATACAAGAATTTATCATCTTTCGCGTCTTTATCCGTAACATGACTATATGGAATAAAAAGAGCACGCAGATGCTATACAAGAATTTATCATCTTTCGCGTTAATAATTTTAAAATGCTCGGATTGTTCGAGTACGGAGAAGTGCCAGTCACTTGGATCAAGCATTATTTTCTTCATTATGCGACTATTTTTATTTACGATTAATTTATAGTTTTTACGATATATCCCATACGATTGTCACACATATAAACATTAGAGTAGAAAAGGGGATTAAAGTGTTACCTCAACGCAAATGATGCAGTTAATACATTCGAGTCGCTTTCGCCATTATTATTCATATAGACGTGTTATAGAGAATACATCACCGTTATAAACATAATTATTACACGTGTCGTTCTACAGCCAACCAATCAAACTTCACTGGTCGTACGTCGCGTACGCGTGTGCGCACGGCCGCGCCGTTTAATTAAGTAAACCCACCAAGTTTGATGAACGCATCAGCGAAGGCAAATGCGAGCTAATACATCCGTAAGTAAAAGTCAAGTCTTCCAGCCAATCTACAGGGTCGTAAACTTTATCATCCTTACGAACCCTCGATATCCCCATCGTGTACGTAAGATCGCATCGCGCAGTGCATACAATACGACAACGACAATTCGTTCGCGCATCCTTGCTATCTCTCAAATTCTGCTCAGGAAGCTCTCGCTCTGGCGACGACGAGCCCCACGAGGGATACTAGCTGTACGAGCTGGCCGAGGTGCTGCCTCTGGCTAGTTAGCCGGTGCCCGGGCGCGCCATTATCGTTCGCCGGTGGTGGCTCCTGACGATGATAATAATGGTCCGGTTCCCTGGATCCGGCGACGGCGACGACAACGACGGCCGGGGCGTGGGCGGCGGCGAGGGCGGTAGCGGCGTGCGCCGGCAACGTCGCGCTCGTCCTCGTCGTGCCCGTTGGCATCGTCCCCGCCATCAGCTTCTTATCGTGGAGAGTCTCGTGGATCTCACGCGTGAGGCAGTCTTGATCGACGAGCCGCGCCCCGGCGACTCAATACTTCCTGCTGCCCGCGGCCTCCACGAGGAGGCTACTACGGCTGCTACTGCTACTTCCGTGACTCTCGTATCGTCTCCTCGTCGCCTCCTCGCGCATCGTCTTCCAGCTGTTCGAGTGCCGATGGCGATGCTGCGTCGCCAGCTGCGCCAGCCTGCTGCTACCGGCCACGAAGGAGCTCTCGGAGGCCAGGAGGTGCGAGTTCTTGGTCCCTCGCGGCCCACTCGGGTGCGGCTTTCTCGCGTGCTCCGGTCGCAGCTGATCGCGGTGCTTCATGCCGCCCTTGTTCGAGGAGACGATGTCGTTGTGGCGCTCGACGCCCGCGTACGGATTCAGCTTTATGAAGTTGTAGCACTCCTGGCGGCCCCGCGGCGACGTCATCGGCTTGCCACTCTTGTTGAATCCGATGTAGCGGTTCTGGTCAACGACCGATCGGTACCTTAGGTACCTGCCGTTGTAGATCTCGTAAAACTGACAACGCTCGTCTCTCCTTTTTTTCGGCTGCAATGAGAAAGCAGAGGGGATAATTCGTTGGGCTTTTCAATTCGTTATTCGTATATTGCGTACTTTGCGATCTAGCCTTATGGCTCTAATCATTAACGATTCTCAACTCCTCGTCACCCCCCCCCCCAACCCGAACCCGAACCCCATCCTCGCCCCCTCACGCCACTCAAGTAGCATTTAACTTCTTACACTTAAGCTCTTTATATTTTTACAATACTGCACTCTACATTCAGAACTTTTAACTCGTTGATGATGATTTTGTCTCGTACTCTTATCAAATATCGCTGTTGTTATTATTACCGTTATTAAGCAGAATTTAATGAGCAAACGATTGCTTAGCGATTTAATAACTCGTCATAATTCGATCAACATATTTCAATTATAGAGCGCTAAGGCTGCTTACAGGTTATACAATAATGAGATTAAGTGAACAACGAATACTCACCAGACTGATTACTTTCCATCGTTTGCTGAAGCAAATGTAGCGTTTGCTCTTCTCTGCGAAGATGTACAGCTTCATGCTGAAGTCTTCCGACTGTGTTGTCATTTTTTCTGTAATCATACAAGATAACGGGACTACTGAATATCAATCGTTCATAATTAAAATTATTATTATATAAATTAAAGTGTCCTAAACAAGAGATAACGCTAGAGCTTAAACACTTAAATTCCGATAATCAAACGTTAATGTTCATGCTAGAACAGGCTAACACTTCGCATAATATCAATATAATAAAATGGATATGTGTTTCTTTCTAAAAATCAATCGTACGCAAATGGATCTTATATCCGCTCATAACCGGATAACAGACAGATGCTGAAAATATCGCTCGTACCTCTTCAAGCCCAATACGATTCATTGAAGAATTCTTCATGAAATAATTGTGGTGCTTGGATTTCTTTTCTGCGAACGGGCAGTAGCATTGGCTCCGTGAAAATTTTTAACAACCCGATAGATCGTAGTGGGCATGTAACTCGCTTGAAATTATGGCGTGGCATTAGCTAGTGCTAATGAAAAGGACACGCAGACAGTTTGTATGTACTTTGGTATTTAGCGCAAGAGTACTATACTGATTCTCTATTGAGTGGTGGTGATATGGTCGTCCTCCACGCCCGTAAATATTACGAAATTCACGATTACGACGTGCCGTACAATGTTTTCTCATTTTCTGTTTTTGCAATATCACAACCATGAAATTACAAAAACAATGGTCTGGTTTGGAATTTTTTATTTATAAATTATTGCTATTTTCTAGTAATATAATAATAAAGCCAAGTAATTAAAATTTTAATTTAACAGTCAATGTATTGTTACTTTTTAAGCTATTAGCTACGATGTTTCATAAAATAACAATTATAATGTTTGTGTAATATTTAATGCTTTTGTCATTGGTTAGCTGAAGAAGAAGAGAAAAAACAAACAAAACAATAACGCATATTCTTAGAAAAAAAGTAATGTTTAATAATACAAGTGATGAAATGAAAAATGGTTTATCGAATGAATTTTCATAAAAAGATTTTTAGCACGAGTTGACACTTTATTCTCTTCAATTTAAATTTCAAATTCATTTACATTATTTGTTCCGCATTTATAAAGTTGCGCTTCTTTCGCAATTCAAAAGCGTAGAACATGCCAATTATTTTGAGATATTTTTGCATTTATAAATTTCTAATCGTTAATACGCTCGGCTTATTTTCAATAAAATGAAATTTATCAAGACGAGTAAGAGGTTAGATTTAATTATAATAATAATAATAAAAAAAAATATATATATATATATATATATATATATAAATAAAGCTAAAAACCGTAGGTGAAAGCAAGAAATTTGCTCATGTGTATGTTTATGCTAGTTTGTAGATGAAAGTAATACAATAAAATATCGTTGTAAATGTAAAATATATTAAATAACTTAATTATACGTAACATTTATCGGATAGAGGTGGAGGTAGAGGGGTGGGGAGAGGTCGGACAACGAAATAGAAAATTCAAAGCTCAGATTATTAGTATATATTTATATTCTTTAACTCTTTATTCAATTAAATTTTTCTTTTTTGCGATCAATGATGAGAAGAAATAAGCATTATTGAGAAAGAAATTTTTCGACAGATTTGCCTGATATTCTTTTCACACTTTATTCATATATTAATATATGGATTACGAATTCTATAAAATCGAAGAAAATTGTCCCATTAAAAGCCACCTAAGTTTCAATAAATAAACAGTTAAATTATTGAACTTCATTGTAATTTATAAATCTTAATAGTTTTATTTATCAACATAAATTACGAGCAATTAGATGCTGCATTTTTCCAATTTTATTCTCGTACTTACGGTAAGTAAGAACACTATATAAATGTTATTAAACGAATGTATGATTTTATAGGAGATATAAATTTATAGGATATATAAAAAAAAAAAAAAAAGAAAAAAAAAAATTAAAAAGGCTATGTGATCGAAAGAGATCATTGTGATACTTAACTTTTATAGTAATTTTTTTTGAAAATTTTTAGAGTATGAATTTTTTCACAAATTTTTCAATAATCAGCCTAAGTAATATTGGCTTGATCGTGTTTCTATGAAATTAGTGAAATTCTATAAATTTAAGTTACCTTTCGTAAAGTTTAAAATACAATTTATTAATAAAAAATATATTGCTTCCAAAAAAAAAAAAAAAAAAAAAAAAAAAAAAGTTGACGTGTATCTTCAAACGTACTAATTAATAATAAAATAAAGTTTTTAATATAAACTTAATAATTAAAATAACTAAATTAAGGCACTCAACGATACTACTCCCCATAGATATAAATTTCTAATTGTGACAGCGAATGAATTCATAAGGCTAATAACATTTTCATTCGTAAGACTCGATTAGTATCCTACCAAATGGACATTCATTTTTAAATCAAATATTAAATTCTGCAAAACTCCATACCGCGAATACTTCTCACACTGTAAAATTAATTTATGGAGAATTCCTCCATAGAAAACGATAATTACACGTAAAAGCAGCGGTGCGTTATAATTGAGGATGACTGTACTCGAGCTCACACTCGACATCCTCTTAAAGTTGACTCGTGGACTTCGCCGTCGATGCGATACACATACGCGCCTACGTTATATTGGCATTTAACGGAACCTGAGAGTTCCTTTGGCATTTTCTCTCTTTCTCTACCTCTCACATTCGTTCGTCCCGTCGCTTCGTTAATGGCAGTTCCCATTAATAAGTAATTGAATTTATCGCCCGAGCGAAGCGATATATTGATTACGATCGCAAATCCACAGATGGCGGAGGGGGGATGGGCGGGGAGGGAGATTAATTGATTGACTTAACGTTTACTGAGATATGGTCTATTTTTAAACCTGTAACGCGATATTCAGGCTCATGTAAAACAACGAGATGTTTACAAAAACGAAAATTATAATTTAGTGTATAAACATATGGAGGTACTAATGAAATTCAGCATTTGTTAAGTATAGATCATATATTTATGAATTCAATGGCATTTGTGAGAAGACATGAGAGAGAACATAGTTTGTTTTAGTGTAATTTGTCAATTGTTTAAAAGTATCGGCTCGAATGCTTTCTATATTAATTAACTGATAAACAGTTAGCTCGTTCGTTAATATATTAACGATAAAATAATGTAAAAGTTATGATAAAAGCCGTGATACTTGCATCTGCCACTGCACTGGTCTTTATCATTTGCAAATAAAGCTTTAACATATGTATATTATAAACCATTATTCCATTCAACAAGTCAAATGGAATGAGATTTATCAAAAGGGAAACAACTGCGTTGTCGTATTTAAGACTCCTCCTCGACAATCCTACGCTAAACTTACTTATAATCATAATCGCAACGTCTGCACATTATGCAAGACCTTAGTTGATTAACGTAATATATACTTCAAAAGCTAAATAAATTATAAGTAAACGAACGACTAATAAAATACACGAGTTTATGTCACTTTGAATCACCGATTAATAACCAACATCGGCCCTAATCATGCGTTTCAATTGTTTAAGCTGACAGTGAGCAAAGGCACTGAAGATCGGCATGTGGCTTTATTCATACATAAGTAATAATTACGTTGAAGCGTGTAAATGACGGAGAAGAAACCGTGGCTCGATTTATAATCATCCCCCGCAGGTCGATCATTCTCGATCTGTTCCACGTCTCGATTGCTGAGTGCCGATCGACGCGTCCTTGCCGAAGGAAAGCTCGCGCGCAAGGATCAAAGGGAATTGGGATAAAAAGAATGGCGTTCTCCCTTGTGCAGCTGATTTATCGATCTTCGATTGGAGCTGGAAAAAAATTTACGTGCATTATTTTCCCGATGGCATTTTCTCGTGGTGAAAAATGGCCGAGTGACACGCCTGTGATTACATAATTAGGAGCGCGTCGTGGAGAGGCCAATTTTTCAATTTTCCACTTCGGCTTTCGGTACGTTTGGAACAGGTTTTTGGAAAGTACAAATTATATTTTAGTGCCATTAACGTAATGAAGGTTCAAGTAAAATTAATGCATTTTTTCCGTTTTCATATTATTTATTTTCTCTCGTGTTTTTCTTTCGTTCATTCTTTTGTTTTTCTTTCTTTCATTTTTGTCGTTGTTGCTGTTTTTTGATGTTTCTTTTCTGTTTTTTTTTTTTTTTTTTTTTTTTTTTTTTTTGGTTGTATTACGCGGCTAACGAATTTCGTATTTTGCCAGATTTTTTACATATTCGCGTGATTAAACAGTTTTTTATGCTAATGCGAATTGGAACACTAATGCGATAACAAGTTTTTCTTGCATTAATAATATGCTTACTATTATTATTCGAAAATTATGAATGGAATTTTTTGTATAGCCTAATGTTACATGGATTATATTAGGATCATGCTAACATTAATATACCATCTGTCATTTATGATTTTATAAAAAAAAAATATGATCCATTATTTAATGTTCATGGCTTAAAGTGTATTTGTATAATGATTTATGCTACAACCAATCAAATTATCCACTTAATTAGTCGACGATCTAACTTTTAAAGCTCCATAATACCATTTCGCTTGAATATTCATTTTATACACGCGATTTTAAAATTCATTTTAAAATAAAGTTTATTGCCCGTCGCGTAGTATTCGGTACGTTGAACTACGCTTGATATTACATATATTTGCACATCAAACCGCGAGTTACATTTGCATATTTTAGAATGAAAGTGAGCAGGGCTCGTAGCATTGTGCAATACCAAAATGCATCAAATCTTTTGTACATAAGCATGATGCGCGTTTTTACAATTTATCCGTTAATTCGTGTGGTTTATTTGCGAATAGTACAATGGCTCTCCGGATGCACAGCATGACATTTACTTATCATTCGGGAATCGCCTCGTGAAAGCACTGGAAAGAATGGATCGCCCTCGCCGACACCACCCCCCCCCACATACACACATCGCCATCGCCACTGCCCCCACCCATGCATTGCGAATCCGAAAAGAGGAGCGCCATGTAAAAAGGTAATTGGCCACTTACGCGCCTTTAAAACAACGATATTATTTC